ATCCAGAAAGAATGCAAGGGATCCAGAAAGAATGCAAGGGATCCAGAAAGAATGCAAGGAACCCAGAAATCGGCACTCAACGCTCCAGGAATTCAGTGTTTGTTCCTGACAAACACTCCTCCCCACAGCGTCTCCTTAAGTCTCAGTCCCCAGGTTTGCCTTGTGAAGAGGGGCGGGGCGCTCTCCTCCTGAGTAGACAAGTCAGTCTGTGCTGTTCGTGCCTTCTCTCCACTCTCTGTGCTCGAGGATCAGGAAGGGGTGATCTTTACTCCTCACCTGAGCTGTGTCTCAAATTCACTGCTTAGCATATTTTGGTCATCCTGCCCCACTTTTTCCCTGTATACAAGCCATCCCAATCAGGAAAGGCCCTGGCCTGACTGGGCCTGCTCTCCCACCTTTCTCCAAAGCCAACAAAGCCGCCCCTCAAGCTCCCTCAGCTCCAGTTCCAGCTCATCTTCCTCCACAGATTCAGGCTCCTAAGCGGGCATGACACCCCTTATCAAAACAATTGAACCAGAATCTGAAAATAACATTTAACACAACACAGTACTTGAGCAAAATGGTTCAGTTGAGATCGGCATGTGTGGGACTGATTGGGGTGGGTTCAGTGGTGGGTTTCAATTTATTTTACTACTGGTTTGCTCATACGTGCATTCACGCTTGCACGATGCTTCTGTGCATGTGCTTAACCGGGGCGAACGAGCAGAAACCCACCTCTGGGTAGATGTAGGGGTGACCCCAAAATATAATTTTATCGTATTTTATTTATATCTTACATTATTGTATTTTGTTCCATTTTCATCTTAGATTGTATTTTATTCCAATTTCATTTTAAATCGTACTTTATTCCAATTTCATTTTAAATCGTATTTTATTCCAATTCCATTTTAAATTGCTTTTGTCAAATTTCAGTAATCATTTGCTTCTGGAACTCTGCACTTTGATATGGCCCAAGGGCCAATCANGCTAGTTTTGTGGCCGCTCAGGAAATAGTCAGGCATGGGAAGGGTTTTGTGGCTCCCGGTGTTTCCTTTTCTGTGTGGAACGGGTCCAAATGGCTCTTGGAGTGTTTAAGGTTGCCGACCCCTGACTTAAACGGAGCTTTGCCTGTTCAGTGGATGGGTACGAAAATTCTGGCTGAGTTCTTGCAAAACCAAAGGAGAATCTACCAGATGCATTCTCATCACACGTCGGGCTTGGTTAGAGGTTTTTGTGGTTTTCGTGGTTTTTGTGCAGGCTGTTAGCTGATTGGTCCAAGATATTACACGGATCAGCGTGGTGTAGTTTTTACAATGGCGGATTAGAGTTGGTAGAATGCAGGAGCGAATCCAAGAGTTTAGGAGAAGAAGCAGTGAGGTAAAGGTAAGAGACCTAATAGATGTGTTTGTACAACGAAGTGTTTGATTTGTCAGGGAGGAGGAGGGGGGACCAGGAGGAGGAAGAGGAGAGCAAGAGGAGGAGGAGATGAGCAAGAGGAGGAAGGGAGAAGCAGGAAGGGGGCAGGAGGAGGAGGGAGGACCAAAAGGAGGAGGGGAGGGGAGGAGAGCGGAAGTAGGAGAAAAGGAGGAGCAAGAGGAGGAGGGGAGCAAGAGAAGGAGGAGGAGGGGAGGAGGAAGGTTACAGGAGGAGGAGAAGGGGAAGAGGAGGAGAGCAGACGGCGGAAGAGAGAAGCAGGAGAGGAGGAAGAGGAGACCATAAGATATTAGAGGATTTCTATGATTCCAGGTGTTTAGGAGAGGAAGAGATATACTCTAAGCTCAAGGTAAAGACCTAGTAGATATAAACGTACCACCAAGAATTTGGTTTGTTAGGAAGAGGAAGAAGCTATAAGATATTTCAGGATTCATCTGATTCCAAGAGTTTAGGAGAGGAAGAGAGATTTTGAGTTTAAAGGAAAGACATAATTTGTCCCGCCAAGAATGTGACTTGTCAGCCAGTGGAAGAAAAAGAGGAAGCTATATAAGATCTTCCGTGTGTTCAATTCCAGGTCCACCAGCTCCCCCTCAAGACGTCCGAATTCAATCCGGTCCAACTCCTGGAACTATCCTGGTTTCTTGGAAGCCACCAGTCCTCACTGCTGTGGGGACCTCCAATGGAGCCAATGTGACTGGCTATGGTATTTATGCAAAGAGCCAACGGGTAGGTGTCTGTACTTAGAGGAACCTTACATTGTTGAGGGTTTTTTTAAAATAATTTAAGGGTGATGGTCAAATTTGCTGAAGGGGCAGCTGTTCAGCTTCATCCTAAAAAGAGACCAAGGTATCCTGGTCTAGATATCAAATGAATGACTCATTGGGACCCCAATGGGGTGACCTGGGGCATGGCACAGGGGCAATATGGGCAGCTGGCAATTCAAATTGCCCCTTTATTGCTCCAAATTGCCCCAAATGCTCCCACATTTCTGGCAAGTCCCAGAGCACGCGTGCGCACACACACACACACACACACACACCAGTGGTAAGTTGCTCTTACCGTCGCTACCGGTACACTGATCGCGGTCTGTTTCTGCACGAGCCTGAGGTGCGCTGCGCACACATGCACAAACCACTTCCTCTGCAACACCCAGCTGCTTGTTGGGGTGCACATAAGCACCCTATGCTGTGCGCGTGTGCACAGTGTGCCTTTTGGCATAAATACAGCTATAGAGCGTGGGTGGGCTGGCGGGCCAAATGAGCCACTGTACCAGTATGCTCTCAGCTGCTCCAGGCCACTACCGGTACGGCCGTACCAGTCAGGACCAGCAGCAACCCAACACTGACACACACACACAAACACACACACGCCAACACACACAACGCTCAAGCAGCCTCTGGCTGCAAGTATTCCAGCACAACACTGTGAACACAACGGCTGCAAAGAAATCCAGCAGGTCAAATCAAGGAGTCTAGGAAGCAAAGGAGCAAGGCAAGTAATCCAGAAAGAATGCAAGGGATCCAGAAAGAATGCAAGGGATCCAGAAAGAATGCAAGGGATCCAGAAAGAATGCAAGGGATCCAGAAAGAATGCAAGGAACCCAGAAATCGGCACTCAACGCTCCAGGAATTCAGTGTTTGTTCCTGACAAACACTCCTCCCCACAG